CTCTCTCCTTCCTCACTCTTCTGGGTCCGGTGCCAATCAGAGTTAAGAAGACGGGAAACGAGATCGGCGACGACGCCGCTCCGCCAATGTGTGTCAACACGTTTGGCTTGGATACCAGCTATGTGGGAGTGCCATAACGGCCACATTAAGAAGGAGCAATTGCAGCCTGACTCCCAGTCAGTCACTACACTCGAACCAAACAACGGGGTAGAGCGAAACGTTACAACTAACTTTAACTCTTATAGAAATCCGGTAGGCTGACCTGCACGTTTAGCATAGGATTGCATGAAACGCATTTGGCCTCGTTTTGGTTGGGAAAGAGGAGTCAAACAGTTAGAACCTTCGTCGATAAGGAGGATAATATGTACCCTTGAAGGATGGATAGACAAAACAACTGCCACGTTAAAGTGCCAATGATAGGAGTCTTAGGACGGCGTTTAGGATCACAGTAGATTGTAAGAAGTGGCCAGATACAATCCAATTCGAATGGGCATTACATTGTATTAAAAAACACCATCTTTAGAAATTTTTTAAAACCAAAAGATAACCTTTCCGCGAACATGGCACGTAACAACATGTATAATTTGCTATCAAATAAGCATAAGAGACAATATTTTTGCCCGTTTTTTAGTCAACAATCGAACCTACAAAACGTCGACGTGATAGAAAATAACGTGTTCCAATTTTATACTGAAGCGAATTGTTTTATTACGTTTTAAAAACTTTTTGAATGTGACCTGCATTGTCATTTGTGTTTAGGCTGCACGCGTCCCTCGTAAAGAATGACACACATTCAACTATGACATTAAGAAGATGCCATATAGTGCTCACAAAATCGCATATGGAATTAATTTATGTTGTATACTGCATTCCTATGCTATGTGAATGGACATCGTACGGTCTTCAAAAATTTCATTATTAGAAACTGGTTGCAAAAACTGAAAAAAAGGTGTTCTATGGTCAGATAATTTCAAGAAGACGTGGTTTTCTATCAAATAAATACAACAAGACCTATTTCCATGTATGTTTTGAACATAGTATATGTGCACTTATAAGGGCATCGAAAATCAAGGGAAAACTCAATACTACATAAGTCACTATTTGTTTTATCCGAGTGCTATTTTATTAAAACATCCGAAAGGAAGTGTGGCATCCCGGCGTATTTTATATATCAGGAGATGTTGACGCAATATGATTAATTTTAAAACCTAGGCGAAATCGCATTTCATAATTTTGATTTGCATTTCATAAGCTCAGCCAATCACTGCAATTGCCGGGTAAAAGTTATACTTTGATAAAAAGCAAAAGTTCTAAATCGATTTCCTCCATAAAAGCGACTAAAATTATATTTCGCAGACGAACAAGCTAACCTCGTCCAGGTATTGCTCATAAGTATTATCAAGACGGTCAAATGTTATCAAGTATCCAAATTAATACGGGAGAACTCTGAGAAATCTCTTGAGATGTATAGACAAGACAACTACCCGAAACGTCAGAAAAAAAATAAACCTGTTCCGGTGAACGCCCTTTCTCCTTCTGACTTACCACCTGGGAATCGAAAATTCATTACTATTGCTGAAAGCCATCACTGCAGGCAACTATAAAAAAAGTTTTCCTGTAACACGCGCAAAAGCTAGTTGTTTAAGAAGCCCGTGTCGGCAAGGGGTACGACTGAAGGGAAAAATTTTCCCGACTGTCAAGGCAAATAAACAGTGCTTTTATAACACATATTACTACCCGCATATACAGTCCTGCGAATCCTGCAAACAAATTTCATGACGAAATTTAACTGGGTAGTGTAGC